ATTTGTCCCTATCACTATATTTTTTAGGTGAATTTAGGTATTCTGCTTATTTATTATATAAATTATTTCAATAAATTTTGTTTAAAAAGTTAAATTAAAACCATTAAATTTGACAAAATAAAGTTTTAAAATTTTGTTCACTAAATTTTATTTATTTACTCATTATAATTTTTAAAATAATTATTTTTATCTTAAAAATAAAATAAATTACAACTATTTATGGTAAAAAATAAATAATCAAAATTTATTAAAAATTATGTATATATGATAGGCAAAAAGGGTATATAAACTCATGTGCTTTTCAACATATTTGGAATCCACTCTTTTGCTTTATTATAAAAGGTTTTTCTAACTTGTATTTTTAGAAATTAAAAATGTAATTATTATACTCTTGTTAAATTGATTATTATTAAAAAATATAAAAATTATTATTGATTTTATCATTAATGTTACATAAATTATTTTAATTAGATAATTATTTAAATAAAAATTAATTTTTATTTTTTTAATAATAACCAATAAAAAAATATAATAATTACATTTTTAAACTATACTCTTAAAACATAAGTAAAAAAAGTTTTATTTCAAAATATTTCTATCAATCCATTTTTGTTTTAACAAGTTGATACGGGGTGGGCTCGAAGTCCACTATAAAAAAAAAAAAAAAATGCACCTCAAGCTAATTCATTTTCATTTTAAAATAAACCAACTTATAAATTTTTTAATTAAAATAAGTCAATTTAAATTTAACTTGATAATATTATAGTACGCCATAAAGCCGTGAGATCCATTAGGTCCAAGACGTTTAAAGTTATTGCTGATTTGATATTTATAGAATCTCTCTACACCATAGTGATGACATTGAGGACGATTTTATGGATACAGTTTTTTATATAATTTTTTTATATAAGTTTTATATATTATTGGATGGGTAAATTTATTTAATATTATAAATTTTATATAAATAAAAAATTAACTATTTAAATAATATATCACATTATAAAAATAATAATATAAAAATTATTTCAATGTCATTTTCCTAAAATTTAATGTTGATGTGAACATAATACAATGACATGGCAAATGTAATCGCCGATCAGGACCCTTTTGCTTGACATGGATATTTAAATTTAAAATTTTTAAAAATTAAACCAAACTTTTTGACCATTGATTTAAACTCTCCTTCTTCCTCCTGTGTCTTCCTATCCATTTTCTTCTCTTCTTTTTACTCTCTTTTTCCGGTTGGGTTCTAAACCCAAATATGGATCTTTCTTCCTCCTCAGTCATATCTCTGTTTGGGTTCGAAGGAACCCACACCTGCTGGGTTTCGAGGGGAAAGAGAAGAGAAAGGGGGAGGAGAAAGAAAAAGGGAAAGGGGAAGGAGAAATAAAAAAGGAAAAAAGAAAAAAAAAAAAATTTTAAGTTTTATTTTTCATAATATTTTTTTATATTATTATTTTTTCCACATCTTCACTTTTTGGTCTTCCACGTGGATTGCTATATGACATGTCATCTGGTAACCGTGAAGTAACAGGCCACGTCACACAGTTTTTAACGGAATGACCAAATCGGGGTAAAAATGGTAAATAGTAGGAATTAAATCAAGGGTTTTTTTAGTTTAGGGACCAAATCAGATATCCATACAATAATTTAGGGATCAAAAAGAGGTTTTAACCTTTTTTTAACATCATTTTCTTGTGCTGAAAAAAAGAGTAAATTTTCTTTTGAAAACCGAAACGTACAGTATCAAACTTTCTAGACGTGGGACCCA